GTTCAAACCAACGCGATTTGTACAAAAAACAGAGCCGATACAAAACCCGAACCTATATCTGTCATAATGATGACAACACGAAAATATCGCATAAGCAACGTCGGCATTCCGAGTATCCTTTGAGTAATTGACAAGAGTACACAGCGATGTTATACCCGCACAAATGTCATAAACGTCAGAATTACGGAACCGAAACGTAAAATACAGTGGCTCGTAAAGTAAGTAATTATAATATTCATCTATTATCACCAACGTGGCATTGAATATAATAAAAAGCGAGATCTTCTCCCATTTTGTTGCCGCGGTCAGCTAAAAAACGAAATCGTTCTTGTGTTAAAAGCACATCAGTTGGGGCAGTGATGTCGATAAAAGCTTTGAAAAGTAATGCCCCATTATTTTTTGTTTGATGTTGATGGATCTGAAGGACAGGGATTTCCGTAGTACGAGCTCATGTGATCGGTGGGAGTGCAGGCGAAATGTGGTCGAAGTGATGCACATTGAGTGGTTCCGAAATGTGAATATTCGGATTGGTTAAGTTACAGGGGCTTCGCATGTTTTTCCCCCTACTTTTTCTAAATAAAGGGGAAACGGTTCTCAGGGTATCATGTGGGTCCCGATTTCTGACGGAAAAATGAGCTATAGCTGCTACATTCAGCTAACCATGTTGATAACCAGAGTTGATCGTGTCAACTGGCCAGCCAGCTAGCCAACCAGCCAGAGAACCATACGGGGAGCCAAGAAGCCAGCCAATCGGCGAGCCAGCCAGCCAGCCAGATAGCCAACGGGCCACCAGCCAGCCAGCCAGAGAACAATACAGCCAGGCAGCAAGCCAACCAATCGGGGAGCAGGCCAGCCAGATAGCCAACGGGCCACCAGCCAGCCAGCCAGAGAACAATACAGCCAGGCAGCAAGCCAACCAATCGGCGAGCAGGCCAGCCAGATAGCCAACGGGCCACCAGCCAGCCAGCCAGAGAACAATACAGCCAGGCAGCAAGCCAGCCAATCGGCGAGCCAGCCAGCCAACCACCCAACCGACCAGCCAGCCAAACATGCCAGACAACCAGTCAGCTAACCATACAGTAAGCCAGCCAGACAACCAGACAGCAAGCTAACCCGCCAGCCCGACCCACAGACAGACTGACAGACAGACAGACAGCCATCCACCGCAACAGCCCACCAGTCGGGGAGTCAGCCAGCCAGCCAGAAAGAGGAGCCAGCCAGCCAGTAATCCTGTCAACCAACCTGCACCACAAGGCTCACATCAACACAAATTGTCTAACGCACTTTCAGTACTAAGTGAACGAGTGTATAGGCTTCTTTCCGTATTTTAGTGAATGACTTTCCTATAATTTTTCTTCTTCGAAATTTTTTAGAGGGCGCTACTCTTATTTGACGGCGAGGGGAGCACGCGGTTAATGCGCGCCCTGGAATTCGTGAGGGCAGGCTTTATTTTGAACACAAGCATGGCTCAATTCCACTGCGCATGCGACGTGCAATATAAACAAATGTTGCAAACGGTAAGTGTGTTCATTGCGAAGTCCGTTTAGGAATACGTATCAGGTGAGACTCAGATATGTTTTCGACAGGTCGGATTTTCCCGTGAAAATGGATGAATTATGTATAAGTCAAGAAAAATGTAATTTAATTAATTGAAGTTCACATTAATTTGCACAAAATGACGCCAAACGAGGGCAGGTTCTTGCTGCGTCATGCTCATTGGGGGATCCAGGGGAGGGGCAACTGCCCCCCCCCAACGATTTTAATTTTATTTCCAGAAAATAACTTAAAACGTTGCGTTTAGATACCTCGCAAGCAATCAACTATACCTGTTAGTTTTAATATTACAATGTGGAAATAGCGCACGATAGAATATACCCTTCCCCTTTTTGAACAAAAATACTCGAGCCTCTTGCCCCCCCCCCCCCGAAACTTTGGTTCTGGATCCGCCCTCGGTCATGCTCTACTTGTTGATGTGGATAACCTAACTCACGATCACTGATCTCCAAGTAAAAAAATATGGATAGCTCATTGTCCTTATATGCTTTACAAACAACTTACCGTGCTTAAACAAACGCGCTGGTTCACGTCCCTCATATCTGCGTTGTGGGCAGGAACCATAAACAACATTTATCTACAACTAAAATGTATATACGAAAAATAATTTTAGCAATTTCAATTTTTAAACAACAAATAATAAGGCGTACGATGACTTCATTTCGAACAACGAATGAGCTACACGTTAAGAGATACCATGGCATTGCCAACTCAGGGAACCAGACAACACCACCTTGAGAAAGCTAACACAATTATACACCTCCCTGAAATCACCAACCGACTCTACAAGACAATCGTTATTTGAATGAAGCCGTAACGCGAATTGAACGGAGACTATACAACATACAGGTGCGTTTCAATGCCTGGTGTCTAGCAGTATACGCTAACATTATCTGCTCACTTGGACATTTGCATTTTCAAAACTCATGAAAATTAGGTATGGAATAGTCTGGTGCCTGGCCATACCTTTAATATGCGGTATCCGAGATACAAATTGAATCAATTTGTTGCGGCGTGACATCCGAAAACTGTATCACTTAAAATAGCACTAACATCCCAGACAAATCTAGTATCGGGATGAAACACGAAAACCGTGACACGGACAGCATTTCGCGCTAAAATCTGAACTGCAATGGGGAAGGCCTGGGCCTACTTCTTGGTACCGCTCAATTGTCGAAATGTTGTCATAATATAGTCCTTGCACATTATGCACAATGAAGAACATAACATCTACCAGAATATCAGATTGCAAGATATCCTCATCACATACGTGAAGCAGTTTCGGCAGGTTGAAATTTACGCCCGTATCACGTATCCCTATGGGTTTTACGTGACGTCATCACTCGGCGCATTATTCTTATACGTGATACGAGAAAGTGACACGGGAACTATACGTATTTGATGTGTGTCTCTAACACCTTGGAGAGTTCTTAGTGTTTTAAATATTTTTTGGAAGTGCGCGTAATTATCAATGAGGTCTATGGAAGTCTATTTATTGGTCTGCACCCAAATAGGCTAACGGAGCTATATAAAACGTAGTCTGGTTCCCTGACCTGACAATTCCCTGACGCCCATGCGTCCAGTGGCGTAGCCAGGAATTTTTCAGGGGTGGGGGGGGGGGGGGGCGCTGGGGGGGGGGGGCTGGAACATTTCATGGGGGCGTCATATAGATCAATGATAATTTTTTTAGAAACTCAAAATCTCAGTGGGGGGGGGGGGGGGCGACTGGGGGCGACAAGGTTTCATGGGGGGGGGGGGGCTGTCGCCCCCCCACGCCCCCCCCCCCGTGGCTACGTCACTGCATGCGTCTACAGTTTTTATAGTCGGAATCTTTTGGTCTGGGAAATAGCTAGACTTACGAACCTCGATAGGGGTCGTGCATTTATATGCAGCCGTGTGGTTGCGAAGAGCGATTTCTAATGGTTACGTAACACTTTATTTTGAACGAAACTACACGTACACGCACACAGACATGTTCACGTAGGCGGGCAACATCTTTGAAAATTAATTTCTCCCGTTTGGAAGACCGTACCTTCTTTCAACTTTCAGGTTTATTTCCCTTATACATGTAATGATCCAAGTATGTGCTAAAAATCGTTGGGATGTGTTCATTACTTTTCGTTGAAATTGGAAAAGTAGGCCTGCCTTCGTGCATTTATAAAAAATGTAACACTGGTGTTTGCACTATCTGCCAATCTTTTCAAGCCTCACGAATATTAATGAGGTTCCTATCCATTATGGTGTGCATTAAAAACTTGCATAAAAGCCTCCTTCACGAGTTATTAATTAATACATATTACTCTTTTTGCCGGCTTCCATTGGTTGATACTGAGACCCACGCCAAGTTGCGCCGAGTGACGCTAATGAATATGCTAATATGCACTTCGTCGTTGTGTTGCCGGGCCGAAATCGGTCAACCATATAGCGCGCTTGCTGAAAACCATGCCCGTGGGTTTGGTTAGCCTTTTAGAGCGGCGGAGCAGTGAAAGCACGAAGCTACTGGAGCAAAGGCTTTACCAGTAACAAGTATTGACGTTTCGGCATCGATGACGGCGACTTTTTCACTGACATGAAGTTTAGAATTTCTTCTTCCGTTATATAATTTAACATTTCAATCATACTGAGCATATTTTCTGAGAAACACATCGTTCAAAGGGCCATTTTTTTGGGTGCATACCTATGTTCCCCAATACCTATGTTCCCCAATACCGATGTTCCCCGAAATCCTTACCCTATAACCCTAACCCCAACCCTAACCCTAACCCTAGCCCTAAGCCTATAGGATTTCGGGGAACCTTGGTATTGGGGAACATAGGTATTGGGGAACATCGGGTAGACCCCTTTGTTTTTTGTTCACGAATTTCAATGCTCTGTGCGTTATGTACAGCGTCTAAGTACAAGTACGTATTCGGCTTTCCTTAACAACCGGCACGCTTTTGGCGTTCGCAACCACACGGCTGTGAGCTGTATGGGCTGGGCACGACGAGCATGCATGCAGTTAGTTCACTGATTGTGGACAATAGTCAGACTGGTTTTCAAGTCTAACTCGTAAACAAATCCACGACACACGTGTTTAGCGCTTCCGCCTTGCTTGGCTACGGCTTGCTTGCAATTACACCTGCGCCTATGGAAGCGGCTAAAGCCACTTCCCACAGAAACGTGCGTAACTGCATGCCGTAGCCAAATCATTTCTAGGATCGACATCGTGCGCGCGTGTCTAGTCTAGTCTCGATCCCCAATGACATTGCAAAGAGAAATGATAATGAATCACCAGCCGGCCTGCTTAATATATCGTGTGCTTGCATGGAGCCATGGTGCTTGCAACTGCACACAGGTTGAAGTTCACAGCGCATGTACATGCTAGCGCTGCCAATATACGGCTTTTCCCCTGTTTTTTTTACCGGCGGCTCGCCGGGTACGTACGACGAGTAGCGTTTTTGTTGACCACTCCACTCATACCACATCGTGAACGCAGTGAAATCCTCCCGTCACGTTCCGTTCGACATTTAAAACACTGCATTTCTGAAATAAATTTGAAATGGCGGAGTCGAAGTCAAAACTCCCCTTCGCTGCTGAGTATGCCAAGAGTAACAGATCTAAATGCAAAGACTGCGGGGAAATGATATGCAAAGATGATCTCCGACTGGCTTTAATGGTGCAGGTATGGGAACTCGAATGTTTGTTTTAATTAATTAATTTTTCTGTTTATGTTTGAGGTGCCCATGCCTGAACGAGTGTGCACATCGCTGTTATCTTTAGTGGAGACATTTATTCATCCATGTGTTCGCCAAGTTTTACATCCAATTTTATCGTGCACCACCGCGATCTCATGCTCATGAGCTAGCATGTGATGATCAGATTAATATATTGTATACAATGTATGTGTTTTTACAAATAAAAAAATAATGGGAGGTCTTTAGCTCCATGGGCCGTAGTGTGAATCAGGATACAAACGGTATTAGTGTTACCCGTGAAGTCAAAAACGCGTATAATAATATTGTGTCCGTGTCGAAATCGCGAATGACGTGACTCGGACTTGAAGACACGCCGTCTAGAAATTCAATAATTGGAATTTAGCAATGGATCATGACTTTTGTACCGTGTGTAAAATTTATGCACCCCCGGAAATAGTAATGGTACAATCTGACACGATCTGTACGTTTTGAATAAACAGTTTCGCGGCACATTTCGCACGGTGCATCGCGAAATGCAGTACAGTACAGTCACATGTGATTTTGTCGAAGGGCCGTCAAAACATTGCCGTCATCATGGCCCAAGAAAACGGAAGGAATTACCCATTTCGGACGGAGTATGCCAAAAGTAACAGAGCCAGCTGCAAAAAATGTAAAGGGTTGATTTCCAAAGACAGGCTGCGAATGGCAAAAATGGTGCAGGTGAGAAAATGACGTCTGAATTATCCCGCGAAAGTGTCAAATCCCACGGTCGTCCACCGTCGACCACGTTTGACGTAACCATCAATAGGCCTATGGTTTTGTCTACGGTCAACCACGTTAACCATATTCCTAGCCCCATAAATGTGGCCAATTTACTGTACTACCTCCGTATGTTTACGGAGGTAGTCCAGTAAGTTGGCCACATTTATGGGACTACCATATTCCATGTCTTCGTGGCGCACTTTAACTTTACATTACAATCTCGCAACTAACTTATTAATTTGTTGGTGACCTTCAAACCAATTGAAGTTAAATCATGGAAGCAGGGGTGAACATTCAGGCCCCGGAAAGAATGTTGCGACCTGAAGCCACTTCAGCGGTTAATTGTGTACAAAGTCTATGGAGAGCCAAGAAAATTTGACAAGTATTTCCTAACAACATTGGGAATGTTTCTCAGTAGGTTTGTTACAAAATTTTGAGATTTTTAAAATCAAGCTTCTTATTTATTCCATCAGATAAAGCACAAAAAGACCTTCAATTTGATACATAACTCAGTTTCATATCTTCAGTAATAATGAAGTTATGCAAATTTTTCTCGTCGGAAATTAGCATATTCTTCCCTATTGGTCTTCCATAGGGAATCTCAGTCCCAGATTCATGTCTTATTATTTTTTTTGGCAATATGACTGACCTTGATTGAGATGATATGAAGAAAAAAGCAGCGTCAGGTTGCAACATTCTTTCAAAGGCCCCGGCATGCCCGGGGCCAAGGGTCCTGAGTTTTTGTCCTGAAATTGGACATCGAGCTTATAACCAGACAAAGTTTTGTTTTCTTTTTAATATATTTGTAGTCGCCATTTTTCGATGGCATGCAGCCCAACTGGTATCACTTTGACTGTTTCTGGAAGGTGGTGAAAAGTGCGGTGAAATCTACTGGTGATATAGGTAAGCCCATAGGCCTATAACATGTATCATTGGACTGCATCAAGTGAAGCTGATGATGTTTGAAAGATGCTGTTTCCTTTTTGAAATTTGTTGTTTGTACATAAGCAACCATGTAAAAATCTGTCCATCACATAAAGGCCCCAAAAATGGTATTCTAAAGGTACTCTGTGTAACTGGTACTGCAACAGTTTAATTAAAGCTGGCTAGTAAGTAAAAGAAATAATAAATAATAGATAATTAAGTAAAAACTTATGATGGCTTCTCTCAGAGAGCACAAGAACATGCACAAAAGTCAAAAGATATTGTCATACTGTAAACCTCAATTATTCCCTGCAAAATACCAGCAGTGCAGCAGAGATGCAAATATTATTGTCCCCCCCTGCAAAGTGGGCGGGGCTTATGGACAAAGCTGGAAATGTCCATTGTGCATCATCCATCCAAAAATCTGAAGCTAAAAACCTCCAAAGACCATACGCAAGCAACTCATTACCGAATCACGTGGTCAACCTTAGTTAAGTCTAGGGCTGTCCATTTTTGAATAATTTAGTAGGCCCTGTTCAATTACTCAAAACTGCATTTGACCAAATATTCAGATATTCAAAACTGCCACCTGCAACTGCTTGCCGCACCGGTCAACATTTGAGCGCAGAGCTTGACAGTTAAAACTTGCGTGCAGTGCAGCGCAGCGATCAATATGGGCCGCTGCAGTGTTTAGCAACTTAAGTATTTTATAACTGTCAAGGGCTTTAACCAGTTAGCGCAGGAGGCCGTGTGTACACACAAAAGTTTGCGGTATGCAGAACGGATGACAGATAAACACGCAGGGAGTGAGGCCGGGAATATCTGTCAGCAACCCGCTCACAGTGAGCAAGGCCGGAAATATGAGTGCGCTGCCCGAGGGTGATGGCTTCAACCCGCCTGGCTTGAGGTCGAGTGAAAAGTAACCCGCGCCTCATTCCGTTCTTATCAAAATAATCCGGGCGTGAACTGGTTAAGCTGCTAAAACAATGCATCACCGTCGACAAAAAAGTTACTGTTGACAAAAAAAGTTGCACCTGACAATAAAGCACCGCAACTTTACGATAAAATAACATCACAGGCGTGTTACGCACGCGCAGACCAGAAACCGAAGCCTTTTTTTTTGCCTTAGTCTAATTTGTAGCACTGGACCATTGAAACAAAGTACCTAATCATGTATAAACCAGCTCTTCCATGAAGAGGACATTTCAAAATTCAAATTCACAGCTCAAGACATAAATGTTTTTAGCCACAGAGACTCTACGTCTAATGTGTTGCTATAGGCCTTTTCACACAAGACAAATCACGGGGTTAATGCAGGGTTGAAAACATGCAACCTTTCACACTTGAAAATTGCCAACCCTGAGATTGATTTCATACCGGTTTCGCCAGGATTCAAACAGTAGTTCCCGAGCGAAATAAGCTCGGTTTGCATGAAAAAAGTGTGAAACGATGCGGGGTTGAAAAATAAAAAAATCAACCCAGGGCGGCAAGGCACTGGGTTCGCCCAGGGGTGAGTTCAACCCGGGTTGAAAGGCTCTTGTGTGAAAAGGCCTTAATATGCTCTAACAAAATTGTTATTGCTATTTTCCTGCCCGGTTGTAGCCCACTTTGACGCCCTGCGCTGGGATGATCAAGAAAAGATCAGGGGTTGTATTAGTACCGGCGGGACCACAAAGGACAAATTTACCTCAGTGGGTACTCTGGAAGACTTCACCGTGGAGTACGCCAGGTCCAACAGAAGCAGTTGTCATGGATTAAAATGTCATAGCAAAATTGACAAGGTAATTACTTGTGTGTCCGTTTTGTTGGATCATCAGATCTGGCACGTTGTCCTGCAAGGTCAGGTTTGCCTCTAAGGGTAAAAGAAAGGCTTACAGATTTGTAGGTTGTGGATGCCCCACAAAAGTGCCAACAAGTTAGTTAAAAAAAACTTACTTTGAATTTGGGTCTGTTCTTATTTAGTTATTTATTTATTTATTTATTCATTTATATATTTGTTTTTTTTGTCGGTGCAGAACATATTTCCATAATCTATGCTGATATGTCTCTTGTTGTTTTATTTGTTGTTATTGGTACCAAATAACAGGCTGAAAATGGCTTGGTTTTTATTTACCCAAAGCTTTTTTTGCACATACAAACCTAATCTGAAAGGTAAACAGGACTTCTTATTGATAAATTGCCGACAAAAATGAGCACAAAAATGCTTTTGCGTTCAGTTAGGAATACAATAATTTATGAAGAATCCAAGTGCCAACGAGTTCTGATGGAGAGCCTTCGCATGCGGTGGTTATAAGTTATAATTTGGCTGTCGAAGGGGTGATGTACCCTGCTGCGCCAAATGCATGCAGTAAGAACATGTAACCTCCGGGTTTGCTGTGTTCAACTTGTACCCCACCAACATTGCAATTGTTCTAAAATTACCTGAAAAGCAAACATCTATTCAGTTATGCCTATCAGTGTGCTTTTGTGTATTTTTTGTGTGGGTCTTTCCAGGTTAAGGGAGTCGTGACTTGACTATCTTCTTTTTGCATTCATATTTTAGGATGAGGTACGCGTCGGTGTTGGCTACACTAGTGAGACGCCTGGAGGTGACGCCTATAGTGGGACTCGGTGGTACCATCTCAACTGCTTTCTCGTGCCAGAAAACTTTGCTGAGGTTGAGTGGAAGGACGCCTATGCTGTGGAAATGATCACTGGATTCAAGCAGCTGAAGCCGAAAGATCGGAAAACTTTGACAGAGAAGTTCCCAGCGTATGTCTTTTTACTAAGCATTTTACTTACTAAAAAAGAGAAAAAATAGTTCTGCTTCCGGTTTCCCTACCTACCCTATTCTGACAGCCCCTCCCCTAATTTTTTTCTGGAAAAAAATTAGAAAAAAATACACCCAAACCATCAATTTCTACCTTTTACCCTTGACTACACGCAGACGCCTCCATATGATCGTACACAAAAAAAATTGGCCGGAAAAAAAAAATAATTCCCTACCTACCTACCTTATTTTCGAATGCCATGTAATCAGAAGCAGAACTATTTTTTTCTTGGCCTTAGCCAGTTTTCCAGCCATTAATGTCGAATTCATCAATTTTGCCACCCATTTCTCTGAAAAGGCTACAGTGCCTACAATGGCTACAAATGCTTCTAAAAAAAGTGAAAATTTTTAGGATGACTGCAACCAACTCTCCCTATTATGTTTAGTTTGTTTGGAAGAGAAACATTCGTAAAATATCATTCCAGCGTCAGTTTGATTCGTTTCACCGACTGGTGGGAAATATTACATCTTTTTTAGTAACGGAAAGTATTTTGAGTTTTCTCTACACTGAATTCATTTTGCATTCTCAGATTCAGTTGTTCCTGTGTATAAAAATGTCTAATATGTCACTGTTCCCAAGATGACGATTTTTTTTTACGATTCACACAGAAAGCGAAAGGCTAAACAATCAGTTGATGAACCTGATGCTAAAAAAACCAAAGTGGTGGACGAGGAAAAAGAAAAACTCAAGGTGAGTTTGATTACAAATTACCACTAGCCACATGCAGATGAGTTCATCAGACGAAATTAAAAGTATAGGCCATCAGCCTGGGGGTTTGGTCAGTATCAAATGAGGGAAATAATGCCCATTGTGATTTTTGGCAAGGTATGCACCCCTGTAGTTGGAAAATATGTTATAGCATTGCAGCGGTGGCAGCTTTTTGCTTGTTACCACATATAATTAATCCGGTAACAAGCATACTGGCGGCCATTTTGAAAAAAAAAACAAATTAGAAGGGATAACACCAAAAATCTGCCACCGCTCGCACTGCAAAGCTATCACACATTTTCCAACTCGAGATGTGCATAACTTGCAAAAAAAACCTCGCAATGAGCATTGCTCCTCTCGATTATTTGATACCGGTGGCCCAATTTTTGGACTGAAGCTGATAGCCTAGTACTTCTGATTACAATGTACCAGCACAAGCAGCAGTGTATCAAACTTCTTCTAAAGTTTTCCGAAATTAAAGATTTCTTTATCAACAATATAATATTTACCGTCAAAGTTTAATTGATAACCTGGCAGATTCTTGCTGGCACTGGTGATTAGCTTGGCCAACTATTCAATGAGCAGTGTTTGGCATTTGAAGAATCTGAACATTGAAGAGATCAATGGCTCATCAAATTCCCCTCTGTTTGTTCAGTGTGTGACCATGAAATGATAATGTTACATTAAGTTTTACATTCTAAGGCCGGGAAAACAATATAATGTGTTTACGGTATTGCCCTAAATGTACGAAAAAAATTATTTTATAATTTTTGTGTTTGTCTATCAGTCTTTTATGATTAAATTTGTTTACTTTAACGGTAGTCTGTTTAATTAACCTGTTTCATAGTTTAATCAACCCTCCTGCTGTCTGAACAGTCGCAGACAGTCAAAAATCAACCCTGTTCCCTGTCATGCCTTTTACACAGGCTGGTCACCAACAGCCGGATCATATTTCAAGCAATCACTGTGACTAGTCAAATTCAATCAAAAGACAATAGCAGGCAAGTTGTGGGCACAACTGGCTTATCAATTACCCCCGGTCAAAGCATAGCTGTATCAAGTTACATAAACACAGTCAAAGCCAGTCAATTCTGCTTTATATAGCTCTTAACTGACAGTCACTCGATTGATTTTGACTGAAAGAACAACTTACCACAAAATGTATATTTGCATAGGAGGGTTAATGAATAACACACGCAAACTTGCACAGAGAAGACCCTTTTCTTTTCAAAATATACTTTAATTAAAAACTTTCGTAAATGTGGCAATAAAAAGTTTGAGGTTGGAAATTTGGCCTTAAAAATACTGGTTGGTTGGATTTTTACTGTAAACACAAAAATATTTTGTTTTGGGGTGTCTAATATCGACCTTTGCCATTTACACTCTGAAGGGCACACTTTATTAACCTTTACCCATAGGCATTTTGGCTAGAAAATTTTCCCAAATCCTCTCAACCAAGTACTCTCTTTTCAAACTGGATGATGATACGATGTCCAGTAAATCTTCTGAGATCTGAGTTTTTGTACGTAATGTTTCATGCAGTATCAAGGCCTGTGTAAAGTAATAGTGGCTTGACTCTACCTTCCTCAGTCTTGCAAAATCTTCCAGATTCCTCCTTTCGGAATGATCTTGGAGGTTAACACCACTTTACCTGACTTTTGTTTTACCTTCCTCTTGGTTCTTTTGACCATTTAGGCACAGAGTAATTTTATCTGGAAAATCAGGGATGAACTGCGAAAGAATGTTTCCCAATCTTTCCTCAAGGAGCTACTGGCAGCCAATGATCAGGCTATACCAACCGGTGAAAGTAAGGTAGGCGTTTGGAGGACTGATTATCCCAAGCAATTCCTAATCAAGTAGTGCTGTCACTACCTTGCTTGGTTTTGAATAATTTAGTGTTCATTTATTTGGACTTGAATTAGATTGAATATTTGAATATTCGAAATGCGCCAATCAAGTTTTTCATGCACAAGCATAGGTTGCATTTGATTGGCCGATTGGGAATTTGATGGCCTGCTGATCGGGATATTGACAGCTTCCACTTGGTCCAGTAACAGTAGCCTCCCTTGATGAACCATGGAACATTTCAATTTATCTTTTGGCTTTGCCTCGGAAAGACCCATGAACCACCTTTCCAGGCTAGAGTTAGTACACCACTCGAAGCGGTCAATACTTGTATATTTAGTTGAACCTGTACATTGTGTACACCCTGTGGGCTCTCCGTCTCAAAATATTTTGTTTTTCAAAATTGAACACAGACATTGACTGGAGCGGGGTTTGAAACTGCAACCTCCGGATTGCCGTTCCAGTACTCTACCAACTGAGGTATCGAGCCCTACGTTGGCCGCTCTTCAATTTTGTCAGTGTCTTTTTTCAAAGACGGCAATCCAGAAGTCCCAGGTTCAAACCTTACTCTAGTCAAATACCTGTGTCCGGCTTTGAACAAAATATTATTATAGTGCACCCAGCTAGTTTTGAACCCCCCCCCCCAAAAAAAAATGTTAAAAATGATGCCCACTGTGTCCTTTCTCAGAAATTGTCAAATGGCATGCAGAAGTTGTGACTTTCCCTTTATTGTTCATTTTGTCATTAGATTCTTGACAGAGCTGCTGACTGTATGACCTTTGGCCCGTTAAAGCCATGCACAGAATGCAGCAACGGTCAGTTTGCCTTGGCCAACGGCGGCTACCATTGCCAAGGTAACATGTCCGCCTGGACCAAGTGTACCGTCTACACACAGGATGTGCAGAGGAAAAAACTGGTCATTCCTGAGGACTTGGCAGAGAGTGACGAATATCTGTAAGCCTTGACCATCATTAAAAAAAAAATATTCTGTTGAAATAAAGAGATCATAAGAAAAACCTTTCTTACATACATGTGGTGTATTAGCACCAGGAGGGCAATTCTCATGTTACGTTTAACCCTAACAATCCCCATCCAGCCAGACTCCAACACCAGGGTTTGTTGGAATATGTTAGGATGAGTACTGCACTACTAACCTGATTATGCTTTACATGGGGTCAGGCATACCACCAATAATCAGAGTCCAACAGTTTGGGTGTACAGTTTGCTATATGGTGTTGGAATTTGCCTCAGTTAGGAAGGTTCCTAGTAAATCAGGTAGGTGGTAGGGTTAAAGGGGGTCTTCTGTCAACTCTGTACCCTGTAAAGTCCTTGCATTGAGAAGATCCCATAAAGTTGAATGAATAAACTACCAAAAAAAAGCCAACAAAATAAACTTACATTGGTTTGGCAATAAGTTTGTTTTTGTTAACTCACGTCTTATAAAATGGACATGGTAAAAATTTAAATAGCCTGCATTTGAAAGTTTCCTCATATTGTGCACTGAGAGAAAAATCATTTAGTGCCCTTACATCATTAGGGTGTAGGTCATAATGCTACCATTACAAGCATTGAAATATAGTCATGTATTAAAATATATAAATTTGTCTGAGCATAGTCACTTTTGTTTGGACAATGTCTTAAATTGTCGGATTTCTTACTGTAATTTCATCTCAGATGTTGTTTGTCTAGGAACAGGATGTACATGTACTTGGACAAAATGGCTCACAAGGTTGAAGAAACAAGGGGACACGATTGAAGAAGCTATTTTGTCTTTTGTTTTTTAGCTTCTCCCCATTTCAGTGCTTCTATCCATCAAATAAAAGGAGAAATACAATAAAAAAGTGGAGATACACATAAGCCTCCTACACTTAGCCGATGTTCAATGAAAATACATCTGGAGTGATGTTTGAATTTTTGTTTGATGTGATTTTTGTTTTGTTTTATTTTCCCCCAAAAGTGCATCATTCAAGTTTAAAGCTTACAATGGAGGCAAACGGATCTTCCCTAAAGAAGAAGGTGTAGCAGGGCCTTCAGGAACGTAAGTTCACTTTCTCTCGTTGACGGTTTAATCTTTTTGGACATTGTGTGCTGATCCTATTATACATGTATACTTATAATCAAGTAGGATATTTCATGCTCATTTGGCAGTTTCATTTTTGTATGTTTGCAAATGGTATTCACTTATTTTTATGCCATGTATTGACTTACATTCTCAAGTAGGCCCTGTATTGAACCGACACATTGGCTCATCTTACGCAAACAGTTGAACAAAGTATTCTTTGGTTTGATACAATCCTCTTACTTGTCATGCCCCAGTGCAAAGCAAAAGGACAAACCGTTGCTCAATCTGGAGATAGCCATGGCGGGAAAAGTTGGTAAATCGGTCGCTGCCGTGAAGAAGATCATTAGCAAACTTGGAGGGAAATACTCGGATAAAGTCTACGTCTCCACAGCCTGTGTGATCAGCAAAAAAGGTGAGTAGTGCGAGTGGTGAGTGTATGAGTGTTTGAGATTTAAATAAGTACACAGCGGTTAAAAGTTTGAACAATAAAGGTCGGAAAAGTGCTGCACTATTCTTTCCAGGGAGTAAATGTTTTAGGGCAGGAAATACTGTAGCAAAAGCCAGCGTTTTAGTGTAGTCCATCACAAGTCCATCACAAGTCCCTCACAAGTCCCTCACAAGTCCCTCACAAGTCCCTCACAAGTCCTTCACAAGTCCCTCACAAGTCCCTCCCAAGTCCCTCACAAGTCCACCACAAGTCCCTCACAAGTCCACCACAAGTCCCTCACAAGTCCCTCACAAGTCCCTCACAAGTCCCTCACAAGTCCACCACAAGTCCACCACAAGTCCCTCACAAGTCCCTCACAAGTCCCTCACAAGTCCCTCACAGGTCCCTCACAAGTCCCTCACAGGTCCCTCACAAGTCCCTCCCAAGTCCCTCACAAGTCCCTCACAGGTCCCTCACAGGTCCCTCACAGGTCCCTCACAGGTCCCTCCCAAGTCCCTCCCAAGTCCCTCCCAAGTCCCTCACAGGTCCCTCACAGGTCCCTCACAGGTCCCTCACAGGTCCCTCACAAGTCCCTCACAAGTCCTTCACAAGTCCCTCACAGGTCCCTCACAGGTCCCTCACAGGTCCCTCACAGGTCCCTCACAGGTCCCTCACAGGTCCCTCACAAGTCCCTCACAAGTCCCTCACAAGTCCCTCACAAGTCCACAACAAGTCCACCACAAGTCCCTCACAGGTCCCTCACAAGTCCCTCCCAAGTCCCTCCCAAGTCCCTCCCAAGTCCCTCACAGGTCCCTCACAGGTCCCTCACAAGTCCCTCCCAAGTCCCTCCTAAGTCCATCACAAGTCCACCACAGGTCCACCACAAGTCCACCACAAGTCCCTCACAAGTCCATCACAGGTCCACCACAGGTCCACCACAAGTCCATCACAAGTCCCTCACAGGTCCCTCACAGGTCCCTCACAGGTCCCTCACAGGTCCCTCACAAGTCCCTCACAAGTCCCTCACAAGTCCCTCACAAGTCCACAACAAGTCCACAACAAGTCCCTCACAAGTCCCTCACAGGTCCCTCACAAGTCCCTCACAAGTCCCTCCCAAGTCCCTCCCAAGTCCCTCACAGGTCCCTCACAGGTCCCTCACAGGTCCCTCACAAGTCCCTCCCAAGTCCCTCCCAAGTCCCTCCCAAGTCCCTCCCAAGTCCCTCCCAAGTCCCTCACAAGTCCCTCACAAGTCCCTGACAAGTCCCTCCCAAGTCCCTCACAAGTCCCTCACAAGTCCCTCACAGGTCCCTCACAGGTCCCTCACAGGTCCCTCACAGGTCCCTCACAAGTCCCTCCCAAGTCCCTCCCAAGTCCCTCACAGGTCCCTCACAGGTCCCTCACAGGTCCCTCACAAGTCCCTCACAGGTCCCTCACAAGTCCCTCACAAGTCCCTCACAAGTCCCTCACAAGTCCCTCACAGGTCCCTCACAGGTCCCTCACAGGTCCCTCACAGGTCCCTCACAGGTCCCTCACAGGTCCCTCACAGGTCCCTCACAGGTCCCTCACAGGTCCCTCACAGGTCCCTCACAGGTCCCTCACAGGTCCCTCACAGGTCCCTCACAGGTCCCTCACAGGTCCCTCACAGGTCCCTCACAGGTCCCTCACAGGTCCCTCACAGGTCCCTCACAGGTCCCTCACAGGTCCCTCACAAGTCCACAACAAGTCCACAACAAGTCCACCACAAGTCCCTCGCAGGTCCACCACAAGTCCACCACAAGTCCCTCACAAGTCCATCACAAGTCCACCACGGGTCCACCACAAGTCCATCACAAGTCCATCACAAGTCCATCACGAGTCCATCACGAGTCCTTCACAAGTCCCTCACAAGTCCCTCACAAGTCCATCACAAGTCCCTCACAAGTCCTTCACAAGTCCTTCACAAGTCCATCACGAGTCCATCACGAGTCCATCATAAGTCCATCACAAGTCCATCACAGGTCCATCACGAGTCCATCATAAGTCCATCACAAGTCCATCACAGGTCCATCATAAGTCCATCATAAGTCCATCACAAGTCCATCACAAGTCCATCACAAGTCCATCACAAGTCCATCACAGGTCCATCACAAGTCACTTAGGTCCTCTGGTCCTAAGTCAAGTTATGGCATATTCTAATGAACTATGACAAGTCCCTTATTTGTCCATTACCTGTGACTGGACTGGTGAATTTACTTGTGACCTAACTTGTGATGGACTTGTGGTGGGCTTGTGATGGACTTATAACCAGGCTTGTGATGGGCTTGTGATGGGCTTGTGGTGCGATTGTGGTGGGATTGTAGTGGGCTTGTGTTGGACTTGTGATGGGCTTGTGATGGACTCGACTACAACACTGCCAAAAGCTTTAGCGCCAAAAAGCTAGTGGTCACTTCAGTCTTGGGCCCTTCAGGCTCAGTTGCAGTCAGTTCATTCCAGGCATGGTGGCTGCAGCTTATTTTGTATTGTTTGGTGCAATATACATTACCATTCAAATGCATTGCCAACGACTCTTGACACTCCCGCGAAACACCGTGGCTCTGTACACATTCAGAATAAAATAAGTCATGTGCACTTCGCACTTTACTTGCAGGAACCAGTAAGCGCAGGCTGTAGAAAAAGATTTGTGATACATGGCCCCAGGAACATTTGTCTGCTTCTAATCCTTTTAGAGAATGTGCCGCAAATGGTTAGGTTCATAACACTCTTGTTTCCTTCTTTATGGCATTTTTAAAGATGAGGTCGATAAAATGTCCAAGAACATCCAGGAGGCCAAGAAGTGTGGAGTGCACGTCGTTCCCTTGGACTTCCTCACTGAAGTAGAGAAAGGTGGCGACGTCTTGGAGTTGATTCCTAACCTCAACATTGCCACATGGGGCACAGACGTAAGTCCCTTTCATTTTCATTTCTCTGAAAATACAAGTGGATTTTACCAGTCACTCAGCACTGTAGGGGAAATAAATGAATTACTTAAAATCCACCCTGCTTGTGTGTGCATTCAGAAACTCACTATCACAGAGTACGCAGTAATCTATTCAACATTTACACAGTTCTCCTAAAGTGGGTCTATTTCAGAAATAGTGAAAAAAAGGTGTTATTTTTTCATTTTTGTTGACAACCCCCCCCAAAAATACCCAGTTTAGCTGTCTTTACCCCTTGGGTGCACAGTGCAGTCACTAGCGACCAACCAAGAAACCTTATAATCTGTGCACCATGCTGACTTTATGATTGGCTTGTTGAAGTGAGCCCTCTGTTGATGAACAAAATGCAAGGTTTAAAGTGCATAATAAAACATTCTTATTGAGGGAAAATCCCCATCAATGACCTAAAACCCTACTACATGTATTTGTGAGACAAAGATTTCATGAATCTGCCATAGAATCAGAACAAATTCCGCAAAATGGTTTGGAGAAAGGTTTACAATTGTTCGACGGCAATCCATTACCTGACCCCAATAACCCATATACTAACAACGAGTCCAATCCGGCTGCTTTGCCTGTGAATAGCAGCATCCCCCCCGGGACCCTGTGCTAGGCAGTTGTTGTTGCTCTTTGTATTGGCTTTCCTAAAGTCCAGCATGGTTGACTACGCAATTGGCACATCTGGTTTTACACAGTTACTGTTATGAATTGTACATGTACATGTGTGGTCTGACATTTGGGAAAAAAATCTGACAAGTTTCCGATATTTGTCAGAGCAGATTCTTCTCTGTTATTGTGTTTTAAAGTGCAGTGGCGGCATTTTAAAAGCAAAAACTTTACAAACAGTAATCAACTACAGTACATGTACATGTATGACATGTGTAAAAAGTTAGGCTTAGTTTATTTTTAGGAAAATTAATTTATTTTTTTTGTTTTTAGGTCAAAAGCAGGACAGGAATTAAACAGCTAGAGTCTCTTGAGGATATGGGCGTCAGGATGGGAAGTATGTGTTCGTTTTGTTTATCAAAATTAAATTGAAACACAATTTATTACAGAATGTTGAATATTCTTGCGCTAGTTCTAATTAAATTAGAGGGGATATTTTTTTACCTGAGTAAAAGCAGTCGGGCATATAAGGCTATAGCCACAGATAAATCCACAGATTTACCGGTATCTCACATTATTGATGTACTGTCATACTTGCCGTTTCTGAGACTCTGATCTCTAAATAATGACTGAATAGTGCATTTAGATCACTCGCTGAAGTCAGTAGGGTGCCATTTTGGAAGGCCTAGAATATTCAGATCAACATGCATCGTCAAATCATGCTGTAGTCCATTTTCTCTTAATTCGATGAAAACACTGAGAACAGTTTTATAATGTGCTGTCTTTTGTTTCGATGTGGATAGGTTATAATCAATACCGCAAGAAAAGTGCCAAGAGCACTGTTAGCTCCATGGGTGTCCAGAAGGTGCAGTTGAAGGGCGGTGCGGCTGTCGACCCAGAATCAGGTCAGTTGCATTTTAAAACTGTTCACATCATGTCACAACACTTGTTTTAATTTTTGAAAGTTGGTTTTAAACGCTGCCAGAGTGTGTCGTCACTTCCTCCACAGGTCATAATTACTTCCTTGACAACGGTTCAACAGAATTCCTTAAAGATGCATTCCACGTACGTTTAACACACGCACGACCACAGACAGCGATTTAACATCCTACTTTTATAGAACGTTTTCACAAATTAGTACCTGAAAATGGTTCACTGCCTTTCAGCAGATTGCCACGACACCAGTTACCACCATAGTTGTACATATTTTTGCTTCTCAGAGGAGAATCAGGTTAACAGAAAAACCTGGGTTTACAGCTGCTATTGCGTTGATTGTGTTCACATGGGCTGCTGCAGTGCATATGCACCGGTAACCATGGTTGCTCCGAGTTGACCTCTGGGTGATGTCACGACTTCGGCAGCATGTAACATGCACATTACACATACGATCAAGTGTGCATCAGAGCATCATTGTCTTACCAGCAAAAAAATTGGGGAAAACCCTCTCCTTTTCCACAGTAGATTTTGTGGGTTCTTTAACATGTGATGGTCCAGTATGTGGGACTTAAGGCTTTGGAAACCACCCCTGATCCTTCTAAATCCTCCTAAAGGTTGGAAGGATTTTTTAAGGACGAAGGATGTACATGTAGGAAGGTAGAACCCAGCCATTGTGCACTCCATGCACGACAGTACATGGTGCTTTTTGACCACTTTCGAGAGCCCCACTGGTTTGTGCATTCACTCTGCAAAGTACGCACAAGTTGTTGTAAACCGAATGTGCACAAACCCATAGTGTTTTCATGTGAGCTCCAGGCGTATGATGGAATGTACCTTCCCTTGGTCTCCCCTAACTCTCTCTTTGAGTTGCACTTGTGCATGAAAGAACATTGCTTAGCAAGGGTCTTGATGCCCGATGGGAGCTTGAAGTAGAAAGAATGTGCCATCAGGGTCCTCAGGGATGAGATTTGTCAGGATATTTCCTGATTTCAGGATTTTTACTGATTTCAGGATTTTTACTACCGGGGTAATTTCAGGATTTTTCCTGATTTCAGGAAATTTCCTGATTTCAGGATTTTTCCTGATTTCAGGATTTTTCCTGATTTCAACATTTTTCCTGATTTCAGGATTTTTCCTGATTTCAGGATTTGTACTGATTTCAGGATTTGTACTGATGTCAGGATTTTTCCTGATTTCAGGATTTTTCCTGATTTCAGGATTTTTTACTGATTTCAGGATTTTTCCTGATTTCAGGATTTTTACTGATTGCAGGATTTTTAAAGAATCCCTTATAAAATCTGGAATCCCTGAGGTTAATACCGTAAAGGTGTTTTACCTACCAATATGAAGGTTTTAGAACCAAAGAAATAGGTATGGTATGTAAAGGGTGCCTTCAGGCAAATGCAAACCCTACATTGCCCTGGGGGCCTTGGTGACACTCAAACTCCTCTGTCGATTATTTTGAGGAATTTTCATTTCCCCCAATCATCCCTGGGGCCTACACAGTGATGGATTTCAAAGGTTTCGTGGCAAAACTGCTGAGGGTGTTGGGGTTCACGTCCAATCTGAGGGACTTGACCCAGATGAATAATGACAGAGTGTCTCTCATTCTCCGGAACATACCGGTAGCTCATCCATCTTTGAATCACACATTATGATATGGTTTCCCACCCAATTCAGCTGCTTGTCAACTTTGCTTAGCTTTGATAATGTGCTACAGGTCGCTTCCGTTCCACTGAGCCATTAATTGACCCTGTTCAGAAACTGTCCATGTAGATAGCTGTATGGCTTATTCAAAACAGCCAATAAAGGACACAGTGCAGTGTGGCGTATCTAGCTTTTTATGTTGGGGGGGGGGGGGGAACACTCGCACATCCACGTGGAAAAATCTGTAGACATGTTTTTCCCCGGACACTTGGCCTCCGTAAAATAAAAAAGTGGAGGGGGGGGGGGGGCTTGTAAGGCAAGGTGCCCCCTGCCTTACCCCCCTTCCCCGCTGGATACGCCACTGATAACATGAAGGTGTTCACTTCCTGCGTGCTTGCATGTGCTATTTCTATGAAGTGCGCAGAACCGAGATTCGGCTGATTAGGCATCAACCGGTAGAATTATATGGGAGAAATGTACCATGAATGCAATATGAATGCAAAATAACTTGAATGTTTTTGAAAACAACTTATACAAGCATGTCTTGTATAATTCTGTACATGCTGTGTACATGCATAGAGATTGAAAGGTAGAGAGAGATATATGTATGAATTTATTCTGGTTTGAAATGTAAACAACTCTCTGAAATATTACAATGTACGTCAGGGGAAAAAGGGTAAGGAGCAAGAGTAACAGGAAGTTATTTAATTCATTTGATATTGCAACACTTAGAAAATATGTCTATAGTGCATACATGTAAACAGGATTTCAGCAGAAATTAGCAATTTTTGTCTCTAGATTTTGCCGTCCAATGAAATATAAGACATTATACTCATGTATGAGATGTAATAACACTGACTCCTGTCGAGTACTTTGAATGTGTCCTCACCCACTCGTCCTTCAGCGTAAATATGCGCAGGTTGTCATAACAAACCACCTGATTGACGTACCTTGTACATTAAAGGTCATGAGGATAGTGATTAATGCCTCTTAAAGGTATATGAGCTCATTTGCTTTTTTTGTGTGCAGCTTTTTACTTGGAGCAACAAAATTGCTCAAAATCTTAAGAAGGGTGGATAACAATTAACTTGTTGAAGTTTCAGCTCAGTGGATACTATACATTTTGAGAAAACTGTTCTGGGTCTCGTAATGGGATTCCATTGCTAATGCACAGACAAAACTGTGCATGCATGCACATTTATCTTAAACCACCTTCAATGAACGTTTTCTTCTGAATGATACCATTTCAGGAGGAATAATTTCACAGGGTAAATGTATTTGGTACCAGTCCTATTGTCATTTTGAGCAAGATTTTTCTTGTTAAATTGGCAGGTACATTTTTAGGAAAATTGCAAATTTCCTACGTTCCTTTAATATTGACAACTTTTATGGGGGAGGGGGTGCTAAAACATGCAGACCAAGACACTAATCCAGGTTATACAAATGTATATGTGCAGATTTAGGGTTTGATGAATTGGTTTCGTAATGGAAATCTATCAACACCTTAGCACGGCCAGGGAGTTGTTTAATTCAACCAGTCAATCAGCAGTGGAAGGTGTTGGTATAAACATATCCTGTTTCCATGCTAGTTAAAGCCCAGTATGTCATCAAACCTCTCATGATGAGCTCTTTTTGCCCCCGTCTCCGGATGTTTGCTGTGTATCACTTTTCACCGATATTCTCTTCAACCTCTTCTGCCTCCCCCATGTATGTAAACAGACGCAGTTACAATGAATTAAACATTTTGAGGGGTAACAAAAATTGGATTTGTTTTTCTCAGGTCTTCAATCTGACTGAAAATTAAACAAAAACATTGTGAAGTCTCACAGCGGGTAGTGTTTTGGCGGATAGGTAGGCAATGTTGGCCATACGCTAGCCTGTACTCTTAGCAATAACCTGAACCCCCACCCATATTCTACATATCCATTAGGAAGTTTTGGAGGATTTAACAGGACTGGGGAAGATTTTGTGCACATTGGGGAATTTTGGAATTATTGGATTCAGGAAGATTTCTAAATTTTTAATTTTTTTAACCGAGTTAAGAGTTATAAATTTCTTTTAAAATATATATCTGAAAGTGAAATGATTTCTACACCAAATTCCTTAAACAGGGATTTTAATTGTCAACATACATGTTTTCATGTTTCTTAATTGTACACCAAACATTGATAACTTGACACTTTTAATTAAATGTCAAGGGGTGAGATTTCTCTGTAAAAAAATCAAAGGTTTTAAAACAGATTAGTGTATTGCCTTGTACTGATAACAGCTGACTGCTCATTGTTGTTGATCCACGGATATTTGCTCATGCACTTTCCAGCTTTGGTTTATTTTTAGACTACAGACGAGAAATTGGCTTACGATCCGAGTGTTTTCTCCAGCTCTCATTTCTTCTGAAATGTCAGAGCATCATTTGCAAATCTCTCAGCTATTCCATTTCATCCTTTTTCTTTTGCGGTTGTTATTTTCACTCTGAATTCTTTGCACTTTAGGGAGAGTGATTAGTCATCGAGGCTCATATGGATGTAATCACCATGTTGTTTTTTTCCCTTCTAATTTTTTCCCTTCGAAATACCTTACCGGTAGATTAAAAAATAGCTGAGTGTTTTTGATTTTTGTTGTTGTGAAATAGTTGTTTTGCACTGAATTTATGAGGCAATATGTAGTTAGCATATAAATTTACATTTCATGTTTTGATGGGAAATTGTGGGAATATTAAACAGTATTACGAGAATAATAAGAACTACAGGAGTTGTCTTTGTAGCTTACGGCCTAGTATGGTGTGGCTGTACTTGTCCTGGCCTGGTTTTCACGTCAGATGACGTGTATACACGCAAAAGTTTTACGGTATTCGGAATGGAGGACGGATATACACGCAACGAGTGAGACCGGAAATATCTGTCAGCGACCCGGTCGCAGCGAGCGAGGCAGGAAATATCAGGGTGTGCTACCCGCAGATGACGGCCTGAACCCGTCTGGCATCGAGGTTCATGAAAAACAATCCCGCGCCTGGGTCCGGTTGATGTCAAAATAATCCCTGGTTAATGAAAGTTAAAAGTCACAGTTGCCAAGCCTTAATCTTAGTTGGCTGAGTTCAAGACCCAACTCCCACTTCCAACTTGTCAGGACACAAAACAAGCAACAAGCCAGAATCTGTAAGCATGACATCATTAAAGTTTCATGTCAATTTACTTTGTCAGCCATGGTTGATCAGCCAGGCATACAGACTACAGTATAGGCCTACGATGCTTCATGCTCCTAGGTTTTGATAAATGAAAGCAGAGATGCCAAGATCACACAACAGCTGGGCATGTGACAGTGCGAGCGGCAAAGGCCGAAATAAAAAAAACTGTGGCATGTAAGGAAATCGGGCACAAAATTGGCTGA